CATGGCGGGCGCCTCGTCTCCAACCTCTCGGCTGAGAGCGAGACTCCCCCCTCGAGCGCCCTAAAGCGCCCCGGATCCGAGCTCCTCACATCCTGAGGGGCTCGTTCGGGTCTCCGCTCGCGCGGATTCCCTCCTCCACCGCGGGCGGGCGAGACGCCCCTCGGGAGCGACCCAAGGATGCGTCCGCCTTTCGCGGGAGCCAGACCGGAAGCCCATAGCTCAGGAAATTCTAACATATTCAAGAAAAAGTCCACCATCCTCTATGAGCACCCGGTTTTATACTCATTTCAACAATCTTCCTCAGGAGTAGTCCTGTTACGTTAGAAGGTGTCAGCCTCTTGATACAGTTTAACTACCTCTTTTGCTTCCTTCGAATAGTAGCAGTATTAACTTCTTTTTTACTTTCTTCAAATTATTGCAACTTAACTTCTTTTTCAAATTATTCTAAAACAAACATGATTATTTAGAATAAAAAGAAACATGAAGCTGAATGGAAAATAGTTTTGTTCTAATTTATAATTTTTTGAAAATTATAAATTTTTAACTTCAACAATTTTTAACTTACTTCCAAGTTCCATTTCAAATATTTGTACTAGGAGCAAGCCAGTTAATTAATTTCTTAATAGTAGCAAACAGTCCTCTTTTTTATCTGTCTAGAAGCCTTCTTATTTCAAATTGACTGGCAAATGCTCTCTATCTCACGTTGCTGGCTCAGTTGCTCTCCAGTAGATTATAGGAGTAACATTTCCGTCTTCTTTTCTATCTGGCTAAAAGCCTTCTTCTTAAATAAGCTGACAATTGCTCTCCACCTCTCAGGTTGGAACTGAAACTCACAAAAAACTATTCTGATAGATTCCATGCAGCTGCAAGTAATTGTGATTCCAGGAGATCTCCAGTCACCATCTGGAGGTTGGCAATCCTAAAGAAACTTCCAAAGAAATACCTATTAACACCACTAGAAAGGTAACAAAAATTAAAACTGCCTCCTTGTCATCCACAGTCATTAAAAAGCTCCGCCCATTTTATACTGATTTAAAAGAAATGTTCGAGCTCAGTATATGATGAGCCTCCAAAAGCAAAAGTGTTTCAGACTTGCCGAATAAGTACTATGAAGGCCTCCCATCTTACACACACACACATTTGTGCATGGGCACATAGATAGTATAGATAAAAGAGTACTCTTAATTGATCTCATTGATTGTGATACAATATATGCAGAAACATGGGCTTTGAGGCATGCAGGGTTGAAGATATTATGGATTTTATAGGCCAAAATCAGCACCCTGAGTTATTCCTGGAATAAAGAGAAAATGCAGACACTCAAGTACAGGGACAAAGTCAGTTTTCCTCATAAGATGCAGCGGCCACATTTCCTGTTCTGGCTTCAAAGACATCAGTAGAAAATCTTTTTTTAAAAAAAACTCACAGAAACTTTGAGTACTTCTGGCTTTCCTGAGGTGCCAATATTACTGTCAATATGAACAGTTAATTTCAAGCTTTTAACTACCAATAATACATTAAAAAACTCACGAAAATTAGATATTTACTGATGAATTTATGTTTGAAGGACAAAACAAAAAATGATTACAAATATCCAGTATTAAATGACTAATATATTGTGTAACAGTACTCAGTAAATAAGGGGTAACAAAAAGTGTAAACAAAATAATTTATGCTCTATCAAATAAGTGAGAAAGATAGCTGCAGCTTATTTGATTAAAATTAGATTTATATTAGATTTCAATATAAAAAAAAATGTGAAAAAGCTCTCTGAATACCCCGCTCCTCTCTCCCATTGCAAAGCACTTGTGTAACATGGGTTCTACGGTCCAGCACTATCAGGAGGTGGGCTGGCACACTGTGGACCAGCTGAAGCTTTTGATGAAGTGATACAAGAATTCTAGCCCTGCACATACATATGCAAATCAACACTTGTACAGAGGAAATTGCCATGAGCATGATGGTCTCATGGTGGTCTACATGCAACCACAAAGTTACCATACACTTAAGAAACGTACATGTGCAGGCTCCCTCCTTGTGATGGGAATGCTGCTTTTTTTAAACATTTCCAGTCATGAGCAGGCTAGACAAATACACTTTGTATTTGTATATACAAATATGTTCATAGATTCTGTGTTCATAAGCCAGTAATTGCAGTGGCAGTGGGGTGGAGGTGGGGAGATACCACACTTGTTTGAGTTTGTTGAATGATAAATTAATAACTACTCAAACTAAAGGATAAAGTACATTTCAATGGTAGGGAAATAACACTTGTCATCTAACGTACACATGCTTTTCCAGTCAGTTTATCTTCCCTCCGTCTTGGCATCATGAATGGACTCTTCAAGAGTCTTCCAGAAAAAAATAAGACAGCATTACGACTGGGGCCACCAAATAGCAGCCTAACATGGTCTTTTATCAGATTTTGTGGCACCGGAGTCATAGCACCACTGGCCTCAGGGTATTCTGATACCATACATCACTCTTAATAAGGTATAAAGTGCTTCCATACTTCTTTCTGTAATGAACCAATAAGGAATGAGAAGTGAAGACAAGGACTGTATCCAAGATTACTTTCACAAAGATTGTTACAAAATACAGAAATCAAGGCAGACCTTTAGTGTGCAACAGCAGTACCATCAATATTCATGGCAAGGTGCAGAAGCAGACAAAGCAGGTCCATTTTATTAATGTTGAATTAAACTCCTTATAAACATTTATTAAAACTTGAGCTATTAAGTATATTGTATAAAGTAATCTCTTTTAATTAGCAGCATGATCCAAAGTCAAAATGCTCCAAGACAGCAAAACGTCTACTACTTAGGTCCCTGCCACACGGCAGGGAAAAGGACGCTCGAACTGCGGCTAATGTGAGCCTCAGCAAAGTTGAGACGGTGCGGTGGGATCTCATGGATCCCCCGAGCCGCGGCGCCGTCGCTCCCCGGCACAATCAGATGCCGGGGAGAAAGCGACGGTGGGGAGGGGAGCCTGGCGAACTGCGCATGCTCACACATGCGCAGTTCGGCCAGGAGCCGGGGATGCGCCGGTGCAAGGACGCGCCGGTGATCCCATGGTCAGTGTTGCTGCGGCCCTTCGAAAAGACCCACCTTGGTAGGTGGTTCTTTTTTGGTGCGGAGCAGCACTGGAAGGGCCGGATCAGGGACGGAGACGGTACGCTTCCCAGATGTTGTGGTGGGATCGTGCCCGTTTGCTCCGCCCCCGTTCCGTCCCGCTCCCGGTCCTAAAGTCCTCGTATGGACAGGACCTTAGTAGCTCTGCAGAAAACAGCATTAAATCTAATGATGTGGTCAAGAAAACAACACAGTGAATTCATTTCCCGCTACACTGGGAAACATTCATGGTTGCTAAAGAAATTGGAGTTTTCAAAAAGGCACAGAATCTACTGCTAAACTATGAGTGAATCAGTCCTGAGTTTGAATTTACATACCTGCATGACAAAAGTTTACCTATTCTATCTGACCTATAAAGAAAGAATAGCCATCATGGTAAAACTTTATTTTAAAATAAGAATGAGTATTCTAAAATTAGGGATGCCTATTTTTCAGCTTTTATCATTTACCAGTATCATAAAAAATCCATAAACTGCAATCCACCCATGCTGCATAACCTCAAGTGCATAACACTGTGCAAAGCAACTGGGCAACATTGCAAAAGACTGTAAGATCTCGAATAATAGAATAATAGAATAATAGAATAAGTGTATATATCCATTAGTAAAATACCATGAATGTAAAATACCATGTAAACCTGTTCCTATACACTTAATGTCTTCTCTTTATTACAGTCAAAGATGTTTTGTTGTCTTGAATGACTGGAAGGAGAAATAATCTATGCAAAAACTAATTTAACACAATAAAGCTTTTATATGCTTCATTGTTTGCCATTACCTGAGATGTTGGTGGTAATATTAATTGCTGTAGCTGGTCCAAACCCTTTGATCGTGCTAGCCCTTATGTAAAACTGGTAGGTAGTTCCAGGGTGTAGATGGGAAAAGACATGATGTGTACTATTCCAGAGCTTTGCCACAGTTTGAGCAGGCCCGGCCACTGGAACTGCCGGATCAAATGATCTTATACTGCTGTAACTGACCTGTGGAAATAATTTCAGAGATTTAGTAGAATTCTTGGAAATGGCTAATAAGCGAACTGGGTGTTGATACAGAGTCATGATTTCAAAAAGAAGTGCTGGAACTCTCAAGAGGGAAATTAAGTTTTCAATCTGTATACTAAAAACTCGTGAACTTTTAAACATTTTAAAAAGAATTTTGTTGAAGAGGTTCCAGAACTCTGTTCCGGCACGTTCCCCCAGAAAAAACGCCCTGGATTTGACGGGACAGGGACACACCAGTCTTTCCATTTTATTCCCAATAAGATCAGTGATTTATCTCACACAGAGCTGTCGGGAGTAGAATGGAAAGGATTCCTCTTAACTGGTATAATACACAGCTCTCTAAACTGATCCTACACAACTGGTGATCCACAAAGCAGAATAGAGCAAACTAGCAAAATACTGTTTTTCCCCCCAGTATGTGTGTGTGTGGGGACCATATTTGTATGTTTATTACAGTCCCAGGAAGGAAACGTAACAGGAGATTATGAGTCCATGTCACCATTCAGGGCTGGTGAACTTGTGTTCAGATGAGTGAGTCACAAATTATGCAGGTCTGCTCTGACCTCTCTACAATGCTAGAAGTCACCATGTGAAGGTACTGAGAATCTTACTTGCTTTGTTAACCGCAAGAAGCAGTTTAGCCTATATTTCCTTAATTCCATTATTTCAGTTAAAAGAATTCTATTATATAAAAGGGTAAAATATTGATTAATGTTCAAGCCCTATAGCATAGTCCATACCCACTGGAAACAACAGCATTTAAAACACTGATGGAATAAACAGAAGTCAGTATATGCGAAGTCATGTATACATGGTTACTGAAACATTTAAGTGACACCCTTAGGCATTTCATTTGTTTCTTAAGCAGAAAAGTAGTATTGTCAAGGTTTTTCAGTTCTGAATAATGATAGATGCACAGGAAATTGGGTGCAAAATTATTGTTTTTCCTTCCTTCCCCAAGGGCTCATGCATCAAGCAAATGTGGTTTTTTAAAATTAAACCCCCAGAATTTGCATTTAGAGTTTCTTGAAAGGAAAAAGAAAGCGTTACCTTGAAGCCTAGAAATGTCAGATTTCTATTAATAAATTCTTACATATATCACTGGTAGCCTTCACTGCACAGGGCTCCATTAAATCATGATATTGGAAGACAATAAATTAATGATAAAAGATTTAAATCAGAACTGCACATTTGAGCCTTGGATTTCATCATTTATTAAAAGCACGCAGTAGTACTGCCTTGGCAAGAGCAAGGCTTTATCATGACTCAATTACACTGAATTCTTAACTTTTAATCATTATAGTAATTCTATTGTTCAGTAATTTAATCTTAATCAGAAGAGTACATCTGTGCAAAGCTTACTGGCACAAACAGGGTTCAAGCTCATAGGGCAGCCTGGATGGGAAGGGGCTCATGAGGCAAATGCAGTATTGAAAATCAATATCGCAGCTTCGTTTATGTCATTACATAGTGTGTTTTGTAGATCAAAAAGAACTTTTTAAAAGTGTTATATTATATTTAACATTTGAGAATCAACACAAGAACTGATTGCTATAAAAATAAAGACAAAACAGAGCGGTGGTGGATACAACACCAGGACTCCCTCCTTCTCAGCCCCCCACATGGTCCAGCCCAGCATCCACCAGGCCCAGGGGGATTACAGATGGACCTTTAAAGATTCTCAGATCAGCCAGCTGATCAATGGCAGCTGGCCTTTTAAGAGTCAGGCAGCCACTGACAACTGGCCTGTGACAGCCATCTGTCTGGCAATTGACTGTTGGGAAGCTCCGCCCTTGGGTTGGGAAAGAGGAATAATGGGGCATGCATTGCTTGGAAGATACTATCAGTTTCTCACAGGCCTGGCCACACACCTATAGGGTTCCTCGGTAGAGTGAGGCCACTGGGCACGCCCAAGGCTTGGTAGAGCCTCCAAAATGATGGAGAGAAGAGGTTAGTGAGGACGGACCAACACTGATCCCCAGCTCAGAAGCAGAACTAGAGGAGAGCAGGTGGAATAGAATGGTACTCAATCCTTGCTGCTCTCTGTTTGAGACCACAGGAAGGCACATCAGCCAAATTAGGCACTGATGCATGATGGCTGGGGCCTGGGATCCTGCAAGTGGCAATGAATTTTCAGGCCTTGTTTTGGGTATGGTTTTGCAGTATTTGTACTGGGGACCATTTTGAGACTATCGTAATATACCAGGAACAAGTGGAATATCAACATTTGCTAGGCAAACCTGCAGTAAAGCAGAGAGCTTCTGGGTAGCTCTACAAATTATAGCATCTGCCTAACATCCCAGTGGGTTCTCCACATAAATGCTAATCACAGTACTGAAGATCCATGTGCCACCAATAGGATTCTCAGGTAAAAAGTTATGAAGCCTTGACACTATTTTATTCCATTGTTCTTTCAATACCTCATACTGTGTGATGATACCATTTGGATCCACAGGTTCTTTCCAGTTTAGGAAGATCTTGTCTTCAAAAGGAGTTCCCTTTAATGATTTTGCAGGTACAGGACCAGGCACTGCAATGAACAGAGTTGCATATATGAGAAAACAACTGCCAAAAATCAATACTACCAATCACCACTTTAATGCATATTGGTCAGGGGTCGTTTGGTAGAAAAAGAGCTAGGGGAACTCATTAGCATAACTCATTAGCATACGCCACACCCCTGACATCACCGGAAGTGTGTCATAAGGCCACACCCCCTGACATCACCGGAAGTGTGTCATAAGGCCACACACCCCATCCCCAACGGTCCCGGCCGCCGGCGGCCTTGCAGCTCCACTGCTGAGCCCCATGAGGGGCCCGGCGGTGGACCTGCAAGGCCGGCGGGAGTGCAAGGAAGCCCCGCGAAGGCCCTCCCTGGCCCCAGGCAGGCAGGGGTGGAGAGAGGCAGGAAGGAAGCAACTTACCCTCCCTCTTCTCCTGCCTCCTCCTGGCTGAATAAGGGCCGGAAGTGGGGCGGCCGGAAGCAGGGGGCGGGGCTTCGTCATGTGACCCACCCCCCGTACCTCACCCAGGGGAACTGCGATCCCCCGCGATCCCCCCCGAAATGACCTCTGATATTGGTTTAGAAATATATCAAAAGAAAAAGAATAAACACTTTGGCCAACAGCATGTCTTAGCACTTTCTGTGTAAAGGACTCTAGACAAGCCAAAACATTTGCCACAAGTAGAACCCATTCTCACTAATGAAAGCGTAGACTACTTTAATGGAACTAAGTGTTACAAACTCACATCCTTTTCATGTTTGTGGTTTAAAATTTAGGTAGGAGAAGAAAAGAAACTCAAGTGAACTAGATGTCCCTGTCTCTATTTCTAGGTGGACCACTTTGTTTTTCTTTTCAGGGCTAACAAAAACAGGGGGGGGGGGTCCACCGATTCAGGGATGGAAGAATTACACCCTCTACCTCCCTAGATGTCCCTAATCCAAATTGTGCCTGACTCCTAGCTTTAAAAAGACTCTCACTGATCCCCATCTCAGCCTTAAGAAGATTAAAAAGTAAGGGACGAACTTAAGAAATCTCTGAGAAACAAGTTACATCTATTCAAGCACTGAAACTTATACTTGCCTAGCCTTTTAAATTAGTTTTCCCCACACTCCAAGCCAACACGCAATGAGTTTCACATATGACATTTCCCGAAGATTTATTTTGAAAACATATTGCCATTCTTTAATGGATAGAAATAAATTAAAATCACTGCATCAAAGGAAATAACATACACTAGTGGCATTAGGAAGGAGCAAGATTTATTTTAGACTGTGCAAAACCATAAATAATAAGCTGCCCCTGGGGAAAATAACTTAATTTGATGAATTAGAAATAAATTCATAATGTAAAAAGAATACAGATACATAGATGAGATTCAAAGTCTCAATTTCCATACAATATATTCATTCAGTAGTCAAATGAAGACGGCTACACTTTACTTCATAATACTGACAAAAACTCTAGAGCAAACTGAGGCTGATATGCCATGACAGCCTCTTTTCACTGGTTTGTGGCACTTGCTGATGTGCTTTAGGCATCATTATGTTTTCTACGGGACTGCTCTATGTTTTCTTTTGTCTGTGGCTCAAATGAAGAATACATTGCACAAAGTATGATCCAAGTGATACAGTTCCTTCGGCTGCTGAATGTGCACATTATGGAATGCAATGAAATGTGTCTAGCAAGTGAGCGTGGCTATGTACCATGCACATGGCACACACTCAGTCATTTAAAGGCTGTAAGCCTAAAGAGCTTTGGGACCACATACAGGACTCTTGCATTGGACGGCCTTCATAGGCTAATGGAACTAGAATAGTACAAATAGAACTGGCTGTATAGTTCAGGCGTTTACAGGAAATTCAACCATGCCACTATCATGTGTTTGCCCTTCAGATCTGTTTTAATTTCCAACATTCTGTCAAGATCTAGATCTTGTTCTATGCCCAATCAGGTCTGTTCTTACCAAAAGAAAACAGCCCCTTCTGCATCTAGGCCCTCTCCCCTTTTACTTGGCTACTCCTTTATTCATCTTCTTATCTCACTACCTATCAGGTCCATGCTTTTGTCTCACTGTCTGGAGCCTTTGTAACATGTCTCTCTCCCACTTGCCCACACTATATTTTGTTCACTCCTAATCTCATGTGCTATGAGTTTTTAGAGTTCTTCTCTGATTAACTATTTTTTTGCCTTAATTATGCTTTCATTCCTACTGTCCATTCTTCCTCCAGGCTACTTGTCTTCAGAATACCTGCCCTTAACTTCATATGGAACCTAGGACGTCATCTCAGTCTCAGCATGTCTTAGGTGAGGTTTTAATATTTAATATTAACCAAACTGCCAACTTTCTCTCCCTCAGAGCCCTGGGATTCCACGCATTCCTGTTCTTTGAACATTCCAAACTATTACAACATGCTATTTACATAATCACCAAAGCTTTCATTGCCACAGCACAATACAACATTATGGACTGAATTCTATTGAGAAGATCTCCATGCACAAGAATGGAGCCAATTTCCAACAATCACTCCCTAATGCAGCAGATCTTCTTACTGCCCCTTTATGCTTTTTCAGGGGCTCCACCATACTACAGGAGCAACATTTTGTGCTGCAGCAGGGACACTGCACTTCTGTGAACTTAGGTTTTAGATGGGATCCAACCCATAGGAATAAATGTGAGATTATGAGACTTTTAGATACAACTGTGATCAGTTTAGCTCTTTAGTCCCTGTTTAAACAAACACACAAAAACTATGGGGAGTCTTCAAGTCTGATTTTTATTATGACATGGTTTAAGAGGCAACAGACTGTTTTATTAGGAAAAGTGCACTGGGAAGAATGTTAATTAAACATATATTTAGGATTATTCAAATTAACGAAGTGGGAGCTAACAACAAAATACACTGTGCCAGGTTAAGTTACAAGAAAAGACAAAGTAAATGTCAACACACAGGCCTTTTAAAAAGGAGCCCATTGAAGGCAATTGCCCCAAACTTCACACCTGGAGGGGAGAACATCAGCACTAACAGTATTGGCCCTGCTCACAAGTGAGCACAGTTTTCACTCTTCCTTTTAAAAACACATGCATTGAGTAATTCCCACATTATATTCAACACATGTACAGATGAATGTGTGATACAAATTACACATTTATCCAGGTACTGGTCCCTGGTTTTAACCACAAAGTGGACATGCATTGTTTCTATCTTACAAAAAGATGTATGCATGTACATGCAGGAGGTAGATGAGTTCACTGTAGTAGCACATGATCAGCAGCAAATTCAGCCCTTTGGTTTACTTTGCCTTTCATTTACTGGGCCTTTGACTTTGGTGGAGGTGGATGCTTTTAATAGTCCTAGATGACTAACAATTTTGATATACATCTCAGTAGTTTCTTCTCACAGTTCTAGGAGATACCAATAATGTGGCTGGAGGGAGCTAGTAAATATTCCTTGTTATTGTTAGCTAGGTTAATAACTCTATTAACCTAGCTAACAATAACAAGGAATATTTACTAGCTCAACTCATTATTTATTTATTTGATTTGATTTATACCTTGCCCTCCCTACCAAGGGATGAGTAGGGAGACTCTACTCATCTGATAGACTGTGTCCCCCTCCCTTTTTTTTTTTTGGGTCAGAAGTCCATTAACTTGAGGTTCAAAACCCACAAATAAACATCAGCCTTTCTGACTAGCACCACTACCATCTCATGGTTTGCCATAATGTTTGAAAAGGAGGCCGTGGGGGGGGGCTTATCTCGGAAGGACTGATTGTTGCAGATATTTGTTCCAGTCCTCAGATCTCCTATCCATATGAGAACATTTCACTTCAGTGAAAAAAAGAGAAATCTACACATATGGGGTTGGGTAGAGATTAACTTTTTGATTCACACAGGGCACTTTGTCAGTGGAACAGAACACCCGCCCCCCACCAGGGCAGCCCACAGATCGATCCAAAACATAGTTTCTGGAAGACAATAGACATTCAGGAACATTACAAGAGGTAAGTCAGGGATCTGAAGCAGAAAGAGAGGATTAGTGGAAATTACCCCACTCGTTCCATTATCAAAAAATGTATTCTGTACCCAACCCATATCCTTCAGATTAAATGCACTTCTGAGAACATGAATGTTCAATATGGGAATCTGGTTCTTTGAAAGGCTTTAATATATATTTATTTATATTTATTTATAATTTCAACTAATAGCCCTCCCTCCCCGCAATGCAGGCTCAGGGCGGCTCACAAATAGGCATACACCAACACATAAAACAGTTAAAACCATAAAAACCATTATTACAAAATTACAGCATGTTAAGTGCTCTAGATGTTCTAAAACGAAGACTTTCATCAAGATGGCGTGTCTTAGATGGTATATCCACTCAGTGTTATCAGCTCCACGTGGCGCTGTCGTTAAATATATATATATACATTTTCAAATTCTGCTGTTGCATTTTAGATATGTAGTTAGTTGCAAACTCAACTACATGAACATGATTTCAAATCTATATAATTTCCACCTAATTAGGAACTTCATATAATGCCATTTTAACTTACTAAAGATTCATAAAGAATCATTTAAAGAGCTGTGTAACATCTAAAACATCTTTTAAAAAGGTAAAGGTAAAGGTTCCCTTGCTCGAAAGCCAGTCGAATCCGACTCTAGGGTTGCGGTGCTCATCTCCGTTTCAAAGCCGAAGAGCCAGCGCTGTCCGAAGACGTTTCCGTGGTCATGTGGCCGGCATGACTAAACACCAAGGCGAACGGAACGCTGTTACCTTCCCACCGAAGTGGTACCTATTTATCTACTTGCAATTTCTTGCTTTCGAACTGCTAGGTTGGCAGGAGCTGGAACTAGAGACAGGAGCTTACCCTGTCTTGCGGCACCTGGGGCTTGAACCGCTGAACTACTGACCTTCCACAGCCTGCAGTTCAGCGTCTTAACCACTTGAGCCACCGCAGCTCCAAAACATCTTTTACTTTTCCTCAAATAAGGTAAATGAATCAACACTATTGCTATAATTTAATAAAAGAAGCACTAAGAAACAAGCAGATGTAATTAAAGCTGTAAAAATACACAACCAAAGAACACTCAGTCTTGCATACAAGTTTGTAATAGACAAACTCCTAAATATATTGTTATATATTGTGTAGTAATTAGAGGACCTGGGAGACTTTGGGTCTGAGATGTTAAACACAAGTTGGGTTGGGGGAACCCCCAACCCAAATTACGTTTAACGTATGACACAGCACTTATCTTCAAAATGGTATGTGGGGAAATCAGCTCCTGAACACACCTGAAGGCAGGAGAGGATTTGTCATTCACTCCATTCCACCCAGTACACTTTTAAAGACAGAAAAGGGTCATTGCAGGTGGTGGTCTCTTTGTCTTATTGATGGTTCCATGTGGGGGACAGGCTGTTTGTCTTACTATTTGCCACTATATGTAATTATGATCAATTTTGGGGGTTACCTGGGTTTAATTTTAATCAGTGTCATCAATGGTAATATGAAACACTAAACCTGGATAAAGAGAGTATTGGGTTTTGTAAGCAACAGAGGAAGAGGGTGGGAATGGTAATGGGAAAATGCATTTGAGCATATTATTGCCAATCCATTAAACTTGGTTCCTTTTGTTCCTGTCTTCATCTCTTTCTTCTGATTGGTTTTACAAATAGAACATTTTAAAAAGCACATGCAAGATAGCTACTTTGATGTGTTGATATGTCTGTCATTTTTTTATGAGCACCACCTCAGAATGCCAAATGAAGTTTTAAAAACATAGTAATTCACAGACTAGTGCAAACACCCAACTCAAATAATCATCATCAACTAGAAAGAAGCAGTGTAATGAACAATCCTCTTCACCATCATCCCCCCCCCCACCTAAGCAATAGTGTACAGTTAAGAAGAGCTTGAACTTACCATCTTCATCTGTTTGGATAATCGTCTCTTCACTTTCTTTTCTTCCTTCGGGATTAGTTAGGATCATTTTAAGGCTCACATTTGTGTAAGGAGGCAGATGATTAACAATGTGCTGGGGCGCTTTGGGATCCATATCCAAGCAGTCTGCCTTGCTTTCATTATGGCCCCGGAAGTAATGGTAACAAATTGTGACGTTAAATGTGTGGCAGCGAGTAATGTTGTAACCCAAGGACTCCCAATCCACAGCAATACGTCGGGCCTGGATCTCAGCAATCTTCAGTGTTTTCGGTGTTCTCATGGGCTCTGAAAAAAGAACATGACCACACTCTCAATGATGATTCATTCAGAAATATCCTAGCACAAAAAAGTCACACCAAAAATTGTACACAAGTCACTGGAGATTGGATCTAGAACATCCACGAGGAATCCTGCCTTGGTCTGCACCCCAAAAAACACTTGTATTTCTTTCTGCTATTACTTTTGTGTATGTTCAAAAACACATTTACAAATATTGAAATAAAATGTTAATTAACTGACAGTTTTGACTAATTCAACGTATTTGAGAATGCAGACAGCACATGCAATGCAAGCAACCAAAGACCACCACAGCTGTTGCTATGCTTCCCTCTGTTTAGTACTTGCCTTGTACGCACATTAAATTTGAGAAAATTGGATAATATATCACCCTGGTGAGGAGTCAACGTGCTCTGCACTGTGATTTATCATGCCACCAAGCAATGCTGCTTACTAATTACACTAATTGCTCTACTAAACTAGCAGTAACCAAAATGATACAGATATTAATTAAAATTTATTATTTGAGTAACGAAGTTATTCATCCACAACAGAAAGCCAAGAAATATTACGAAATCAGTTTGAAATATCTAACCATTGTGCTATTACATTGAGCCCCAAATAAACCATTAGAGATACCTTAGCTGGCAAAGCAGTGCACTGTCACCCAAGCTTATCTGATAACATGTGCACAGATCTCCATTTGGCTGGAAAACACGAATGTAACTTGTTTTACTTCCAGGACAGGCATCAATCTATCACTTGTCTCCCCAGTGCATTCATCCCTCATGCAAGACTAACTTTATAGTCTGACTTAATTAAAATGATTGCACAATGAAAATCATGACCATGACCACACATACCAGAGATTCCCTAGAAATACCCTCAAGGCAAGCTTTCTATACTTCCTTATATTTATTTATCACATCAGGTTATGGGTTGCGTACTTTAGAACAGCCTTCAGATCTAATACAGCAACACATGATCAAATAAGATAAATGCTTCTTTACATTCAAAAGGTTTCACTGTCTTCAGAACATTCCTTTCCCAAGCTAAAAATCCTAACTAAGCAAACAACACAAGGTACAGATGGCATCACCAAATGGGGACTCCATTAAATGTGTTCAAGCATACAGTTTATAAGACAATGCAAACATTGAACAATCTCCCCCATACTTAATCTGTGCAATACACTTATAGATTGTCAAATACAAGTGTTCTTTGGAATTAAAGTGCTATCCAGGGGCTAATGTTCTTACTGTTTATAATGACCCGTTTTCCATGAATATTTTAATGTACATGAGCAGACCTTGGCAGTTTAATATAGATAGCTTTATATCTTGGAGGTATTCTTCTTTTAGGGGATGATTAAAGATTGTAATAAACCTGTTTTGATGAACATGGAAGAACCTCGGCACATATTTGCCATCATAATGCACCAGCCATAGGCAAGATCTGGTATAACTGAGCCAAAATCCCAGGGGTGCTTGTTAGTTCTGGGGGAGTAAGGAAGGGTGAGGAGCAGTACAGTCCACCTGTTGCCTTGTGACCCATTGCTGTTAACAGTAGAAGGAACAAATGGGGTCTCTTGCAGTGTTCCCTCTAAGCTGAGTTAGTGTGAGCTAGCTCACAGTTTTTTAGCCTCCGGCTCACACATCTTTGTCTAAGCTCAGGAAGGATGGCTCCAGAGCAAGCTAATTTATGCAGTAGCCAAACTGCTCACTCACAACTTTAATGCCAGTAGCTCACAAAGCAGAATGCTTGCTCACAAGACTTAGCTTAGAGGGAGCATTGGTCTCTTGCCTCATGCAGTGCATCTGACACTAGGTTGCATCTGTTAAGAGAAACTAGAAATGGTTCCATCCACAAAACACCCCCACTGCAATTCTGCCTGAAAGGAATGCTGTGGCTCAAATATATTTTGGGAAGAACTGACAAGCTAGGGTCCTGCAAAAAAGCAAAACAAAACACTGGAGGGATTAACAATTTGGAAATTCAGCTCCCTCCAATCTCCCTTACTAATATGCAGAAATCCCTTTGTAGTATGGGGTGGTCTCCTTGTGCTGCTTTTGTAGTTAGGGTTGCCAACCTCAATGTAGGGCCTTGAGATATCTCAGAATTGGCACTGATCTCCAGACAACAGAGATCAGGTTCCTTGGAGAAAATGGCTGCTTTGGAGGGTGCACTCTATGGCATTATACCCTGCTAAGGCCCCTCCCCAAACCCTGCCCCCCTAAGGAATTTCCCAACCCAAAGTTGGCAACCCTATGTAATGGTAAGCCTGCCTGTTGGGGACCAGAGCCTGGGAGGGTCTTGCCTTCCAGCTTCTGCCCTTTCCAACATGCCTATGAGCAATACCACAGCACTGGAAAGAAGTGAGGTATTTCTTCACCATGGTTCCCTCTCTCACGGGCCTCTGCCTACCCTCTGGCTTTCAGGGCAAGACTCAGTCTTCTTCCTCCATGGCTGTCTCCAGATGGGCCTTATAAAAAAGTTCCCTGGGCTCCCACCAAGCACCCCAAGTCCCTGTAGTGCCTGGCCTCCTGGCCAAAGGTCTGTTGTCTCTCCATCCTCTCTAGTCCGTCATTTCCCCTCTTTAAAATCCTCTACTAGGCCCTCCTCCTCAGGGCTAGGACCCATCCCATATTTCCTCAAGCTGTTTCTTGGCCGCTGGGTCTTCTGCCTGCTCCAGGGAGTCCCCAGAAGTTGCCCTTCCTTTTTCCAGCTTCCTGTTGCCACCCAGCTGCCCACTGCAGGGGTTGTTCCACTTCCCCTCCCTTGCTCATTCTCTGGCAGCCAAGGATGGCCATCCAAGGGCTCCTGCTGTAGGAGGCTGCCCAGCACTGCCATGGCAGGCTCACCAAGCTCTTCAGAAGGAGGTAAGTGCCAGGGCAGGAGGGGTTCCATCCCTGGACAGTAATCAACATAAGGGCTAATCAGTTTACATTTATAAAGAGTGAGGGGCTTCAGACTGTCACTATTTGAAAACATTTGTGGTTACTCCCAAGTCAGAACATTATTAAGCCTCCTGCTTGCTTTACACCTGATATTAAAAGGCCACTGTTGAATCTTAGGGCAAAACTGCTTACAAAACTGCTTGGAATATAACAAGCGCACCTTGGCACTGGAAGGCACATTAAAGGCATTCTTTAGGCACCTGCCGGAAAAGGAAAAGAAAGGTCTAGATTTCTCCCTACAAATGCTCACCAGTGGCAGAGATTAACCAATTTTTGTGAAGACTGAGATGGTCATTAAAGTCTGCAGTGCCTTTCAACAGCTTTGGTAAACTCTGCCAACTGTCCCGCTGCTGCTGAAAATGACGTTTTAAAATGCAATTCTGCTCTCTTCTCAGAGCAACATTCATAACATGGTCTCCAGAGATCAGGTTCAATTGTTTTAAACTGCTGCACCACAAAGCCTCCATCTGTAAAGACTCAGTAGAAAGTAATCTCCTAATAATTATGTTTTCAGATAAGAGGTCGCTAGATTGTTTAGTAAATTCCAAAAACTTAATTGCATTGCATTAAGAATAATTTCATTCAACACAGGCAGAGAACTAACATGCCCCAGTTATTATTCATTAGGGCTTCACTGCCCGATGGAACACTAGCTAAACCCTCTAGCAACTCAATTCCCACTGAGGGGTTTTCCTAGATGCAAGCTGTGCTTCCAAGGTGCATCAAGGTATTCTTTTTATTATTTCCATCTTCACAGAGACTCAAATTTCCGTCCCCCCCCCAACCAAAATTTCTAATTAAATTTAAAGAATGCCTGTTCCATCATCTATGCATGAGGAACTAAAAAAGAAGCCAGCTCATTATGAACTCAGACAGTTTCTATACATTGGAGCATTGCAGTTTCTAATGCCTAGGGGTTCACAAAGTAATTCAGCATGATTCATATATCTTGTACACAGCAAATAATCTTACTGCTTTAAAATATGTTGTACAATCAGGACCGTGTCCTGATCTTTAGCTCATTAATGGGAAGAAAGCAAGCCTGCAGCAGAAATTTTATGGTGAAGGGTCATGAGTACACTGGGTTGGTGACTGCCAAGCCTCATCATCCTAAATCCTGAGACTCACTGGGCAGGACATGAGATCATGGAGAGCCAGCGTGGTGTAGTGGTTATGAGTGGTGGGTTTGATTCCCCAATCCTCCACATGAAGCCTGATGGGTGACCTTGGGCCAGTCACAGTTCTCTCAGAACTCTCTCAGCCCCACCTACCTCACAAGGTGCCTGTTGTGGGGAGGGGAAGGTAAGGAGATTGTAAACTGCTTTGAGACTCCTTATATCCCTAGGTATGTACCACATGGTATCTTCACGTAGTTACAACCAATTGTTTTGAAGAGATGAGTTCTTTAGATGACAAAAAATAAAGGAAATAATACGGAAATAAACTATGTAGTGACAGATTATTGCTCCACATCTCCAGTTTACACATACAGCAGTTATTGCAAACAGGCATGCATATAAGTGTCAGAAAAAGCCGTACACATCAGCAAAATACCATCAGCTAGCCAGGAAAAAATTATTTGCTTATGATCATGCTATGAGTCATTTGTTAACTGAATTAATGCACCTACATTCTCCTTTCAAGAGATGTTAGAGGGCATAAAACAGTGGCACAGGATTGAAAACAGTGCTCAGAAAGCTGTGGGGTGGGGGGTAATGAAACCCATTGAATGTGACATCCTGGAAATTAGTAAGATCTGCAACTACCCATTCATGTGCATTCACTGTGGAGGCCCCCATCTTGTGAAATGGCCTACCTGAGGAAGGCAGGAAGGTTCCCACACTTCTACCAGTTCACAGAAACATTCAGGAGGGCATTTTTATAAAGGCAGTAGAGCTGGAGTATAATGGAACAGCTCTGCAAGTCACTTTTATAGGAAACTAGGAGTAAGGCCCATTGTGGGAAGAAATATGAGTTCTAGAATGAAGCTCCAGGTGAGTGTCCCGGCTATGGCTGGTATGATGGATGAGGGAAAGGGAAACTAGAGGGAGG